CTATTTAAATTTGTTTGAATTGAATGCACATCTTGAAGGAACATCACTTAAAACTATGTGTTGTTATAAAAAATATAAATTTAAGTCAGTGACATAGGATACAGCATTTATAACTGGATCTGATTACAAAAATGAATTTGTGACTCAGAAAAATTATTACAACCTTCTTTACAGTTCACTAGTTAACAGTATGTACAAAATAAATATGCAATTCATAGCACACACCAAAAAACTCTTTAAGTTGGTTAACATCTAGTAGTCTAACAGCTACTCCTACCGTCCTGACCGTTGTCACCCCTGCCGCCGCCACCTCCGTTCAGTGAGTGCTGACTCCGGACCTGGGGCTTGGACTGTCGTACAGTGACCCTGTGGAATTGCCACATGTCTTACTTGCATGTTACACAGCTGGAAACTAAACTTGGGAGAGTTAGGTAGCTGGCATATGGTTAGAGCAGCAATTAAATTTAAGTTCCTCTGATTCGAAAAGGAACACGGCAAAGACATAGGCTGGCTGAAGAGAGGAAATGCTGGCCGCGGCAGCGCCGGAGAGACGCCCTGTCAGCCCTGCGCCACACTCCCCAGCTCCCCCTGCAGCTGCAGGCGTGGCTGGGCCCCCCGCCCCCCACCGCAGCACCCCTCCCGCCCCATCTATGTAGACAGTCTACACACCTGTGAAAAAGGAAATCTTTAGAGATTACCTTTTCTCATTTACTGTGGTCTTTCTTCTGAGAAAAGAGCCCCAGATCTTGATTTAACTTGCTTAAAAATTATCATTAACTGTATGAGCCCCGTCTGTCCCTATGAGAAGGAAAAAAACCCAACCTAGTGATGTCATGGTTGCAACACTTTTTCCTAGGACCCTCTAGAGCACCAGGAGGCCGAGGGGAAGCAGATTTTATGGGCTTGTTCAGCATCCTGGACAGACGTGACCCCTCCTCTGACACCCTGAGCTAGGCAGTACTAAACTGCTTTTGGAGATGCCAGCCGAGCAGGCTTGGCAAAGGCCTGCTTTGTATTTGTGTACCCACTTGCCTACCTGTCTCCAGGACAAGAATTACAATATGCACGGATTCCCTGATGCCCTTTTGAGTGGAGTCAAGGAGAGCAGGGTCTGAGTTCCAGTGAAAGATACAGAATAAGGGCATGAAACAAGGAGCGAGGACGTTGGCTTCTTCAGTGTGCAGAGACAGAAGGGCCCAGGGCAGAAGGCGGTCTTCCAAAACCGAGGGTTTTAGGTTCCCGCTGCCCTGGAAACCTGTACTTAAAACACACACACGTGCACGCGCACGCGCGCACACACAGCATATATTATTATATAATTATTTATATGCAGTACCATCTGAATCCTCAAGTCCCTTCCAAAGCAGTGTTCACGCTCTCCAAGTTGGAGGCTCCGTGGATGACCATGACATGTAACATCGTTCACAGTGAAGGTGGAAAGGAATTCATTACCGCAGGCATATTGAAAAGATGAAAATGAACAGGTTGATCGTTCCTGGGTGTCAGAGTGTTGAGTCTGGCTTGAGATAAGACTCTGGTCATTAGAAGACCATCTTCTAACTAGAGGATTCACATATTTTTACCACAGAATTGTTTTTTTTTTTTTCCCTTTAAATCTTAATAATGTTCTTATACCTGCAATGAAAGTGCACTTTACAAATCCACACTTTCCTAAAGATAGTAATGCTGTTCTGCCCAGACAGTGAACAGGCTTCTCCCCAGGAAACAGGGTTCCACCTCAGTAATGATTTCTCCGCCTGTGCCTGCCAGCGTGACCTCATCCTGGATTGATTCAGCCCGTGCTACAGGCTGTTTTTAAGAATAAAAAAAGTTGTCAACGGGAGGCCATCCGTCTCTTAGTCCCCACACGATATTTTTAGTTTCATACAGTAAAAGATGCGCCTTAAAGGGAAACGTTAGAAAGAGCCTGGAAACCATTTTGGCCTGACAGTGTTTGCAAAATGTTGATATTTGGTTAAGAAGCTTTTGAAGGGTGTGGTGCACAGTCTGGCCAGGGCCTGTGTGTGCCCCATGGAAGACCTCAGCGTTGACTTGGGTGTTGTTCCCCATTGTGTGGGCTGGGCTGCACGTACTTGTGTATCTAAGCGGACTTGTGTCGAGAAGAATCAGGACCTGAGAGAACTTGGGTCATTTATCTTCCGTCAGACAGAAGTTATGGGTGCGTGCACAAAAAACCAGCTGGAGCCTTGGCTGGTGTGGCTCAGTGGATTGAATACCAGCCTGCGAACTAAGGCGTCGCCAGTTCAGTTCCCAGTGAGGGCCACATGTGTGGGTTGCAGGCCCAGCCCACAGTTACGGGCACGCGAGAGGCAGCCACATGTTGATGTTTCTCTCCCTTCCTTCCCCTCTCTCTAAAAATAAATAAAATCTTTAAAAAATAAAACAGGCTGGAATTCTTGGTGTTCAGTAAATTGCTTTCACTCCATAGTCTTGTTTTCTCAGCCTGTTTCTCGTATTTAAGCCACATGCCTTTTTTTGATAAACATTACAAAAATTTTCACCCTCTTTAATCATTGAAACAAATCAAAGCCACACTCATTTTGGGTGTCTTTTTCCTGAACTGTCACTTTTGTCCCAGAAATTCTGACAGGAGCCCCTTGAAGGGAGCATGTTTTTCATCCACCACCACCCTCTCCAGCTGAAAATGTTTTGGCAAGTGTATTTTATAGGAAGGAAGGTTTCCTCCTTAATTGTTACTGAAGCAACTGAAGTGAAAGTAAACATATTAAAAATTATATGGGCATTTTATGTGATATGTAAAGTATGTGTGCCAGTAGAGAAGGGAAATCTATCAAAGTGAAAAGACTCACCATATTAGAATGGTGCGATTGTGGGCATACTGTTCCTTTTTCAAAATTGTACTTGCTAACATTATTTTTAAAACAAAAGGCTCGTATTAAACTGCATTTTGTATCAATTTCAAGTTGTATACTTAATAATTACCTAATCATTTATAGAGAGAGTCTCAAAGGGATTTTAAATCATTGTATTGTGATTCACCCCCCCCCCCCAAATTGCAGTGGTCTCTTGCCTAGATTTTAACATTGTATTTTAAGATAAGTAAAAATGATAACATGTAGCTTTTGACTATCTTTGGAGCATCACTTTTTCCATAAATTCTTACTCTTGACTAGGAATATTGTGGTACTGACTTTTTTCCTTTGGCTGTTTTTAGGGGAATTATAATCATGTTCACAAATCTAGGTATATGCAAATAACAAGAATAGATTTGGTAATTTGAACAGCAAAATGTAATGCAAGAAGTTCAAGGGGACAGTGTTGAGAATATACTGACCATCTGCAGCCTGTGTCCCTGGTGATAGAGAGCAGAGACCAGCTTTGTCTTTTCATTGAAACCATGTGCTTTGTGTGCAGGAAGGAAGTGCATGCTGGTCAGAGGTCAGAAGCAGGATGGATGGGGTTTGAAAGAGAATATTTGCTGTGGGGTTTTCCTAAACCCCTGGCCTTATGGGAGGTGTTATATCTAATAGACTTGGTGGAAGCTTGGGCAGACCGAGAGCTGTCTCATCGTGATACCAATGGGGGGCGTTAGCAAGACGCTATGGCCAGGTACAGAGCTCTCTGCGCGCCGGGCCCAAGGGGTACAATAATAAATGTAGGCCTGGACCAAATCCACACACGGGAGGCATCTTGAAAACTTCAGTTTGAAGAGAGCCCTCCGCACACGAAAGGTCTAGAATCAAAAGGTCTAGAAGTTGTGTCATGAGCTGAACAGCAAAAAGAGAGAATGATGTTTAGTGTGAGACAGAGAGAGGTTTAAAGGGCTTGACTGACGCCTTCAGAACCCGAAGGGCGGCTCACAAAAGGAGAAGCAGCATCTTTTCTGTGGTCCTTTGGAGAACGGGAATAGGAATGTGTGCAGATAGTGGGGGGCAGGGTTCCGTGTAATGTAGGGTTTTCTTGCAGTTGAAGCTACCCCTTCAGGTAGTGAGAGAGTGAACTGTGGGTGCATTCAGGTGGGGGTGTCAGAGCCGTGCCACGCTGTGGTCTGACCAAAAGGGACCCGCATGCGCTTCCCAGGCCTGTGCGTCGGAGCCTCTGCTCTGCGCCTCCACGCAGCTGGGGCTCTCGGGGTGGCATCCTGCCGCCCTGTGGGTTACATCCGCTCATTGGCTGAAGGTGGCCAAGTTACTTCCTTTCCTTACTTGCTTCTGAGCCCAGGATGCAGAAGAAGGATGCTGACTAAGTGTCCCTGTCCCTTCCTTCTGTGTCACCTTTTCTAAAGCAGGTAGCCTTGCCTCCCATGCCTTCCTCAGTCTTTACCCGACCCAAGAGCACAAAATGCCTTCGTATGAGTTTCTTAATTTGTTCTAAAATGTTCTCTGCTCTTACTCTGGATGCAGGGCTCAGTGTGCCCCTTCCTCTTTCTTTTTGGAGCATCCTCTCTTATCTCCTCAAAGACAGATAGACCCTTCAATTTGATGAAGAAGAGTTTCTAATGAAATAATCTGTTTGCAGATCTCCTTTCATAGGGCCAAAGGTAATTAAGAGACTTAAAATTCAGTGTTGCTATGGAGTACCTGACCCTATGCCATTTGAGTATCAGTCAGCAGCTCCCTCTCCTGCCCCCTCCGCACTTCAGGCTCCTGGCTGATGGCTGCCTAAGACTTCATGTATTTTAAAAACTAGGAGTTATAATTAGAAGTAATTATAGTATTTCCAGACATATGTACCTGGACATGATCATTTTTGTGGTCTGAGTAGGTGTGGGTTGGCCCAATTTGTTGGAACCAGATTTGTACATTTGGGAAACAAAAACTAACAGAATTTATGTATTTTTCACAGCAGTAACATAGCTTCCAGGGGCCCAGAACCTCAGTTCAAGTCCGCCTCCTTTCTTGCAACATTTTCTTAGTGCTTTCCCTGTCACATGCATACTGGGTTGATGCTTTTATTTTTCCAATGTAAATTCAGAGTTTATCACCTTTTATTGACCCCGGGATCTTTCCTCCTTGCAGGCATAGGGGGCCTTCAAGACTTCGTGCTGAAATCCGCAACACTGTGCAGCCTGCCCTCCTGCCCACCCTTCATACCGCTCACCTTTGAAGCCACCCCTATTGTGAGGGTTGCCGTTGAGCCAAAACACCCAAGTAAGATGACCTTGTTTTAAAAGGAATGTGGTATTCGTGACACTTTTCAAATGCATGCATTTAAGCCTCACTTCCTCACCATTTGTTTCAGCAGCGCTGTGTGAATTCTCATGCAGATACGAGTCTTCCCACCTGGGAGGCCCTCCAGCTTCCCTCTCTGCAGAGGGCTTCTCACCTCTGCTGGGACCTGGGCCTCCTCGGACGCCTTTGCTCGCTGAGGAGACTGCACTCTGCTCGGTGGCAGAGACAGGGACACCAGAGCATAGTTTCTGGCAGCGTGATGATAACCAACATAAATATTTTCAAAAAGTTGTTTCCATATTCCATATCTTTTTTGAAAGTTTCTTCTTTGCCTGTTGATACACGGTCACCCTTACCACGAAGTGACAGATTTAAGTGTTTGTGCTTTTTATTTTTTTGTCTTACAGTCTCATACTGGTAGCAGCCATTGTTTTTACTGATTTTTATCTTGTGTTTGTTATTCATATTATCAGTGGTCTTTTTGCAGGAATCCCTTTAAACCACATTTCAAATTCTGTGAAGGTTAAGGGAGTTAATGCTAGATAATATCTGTAAGTCTACTCAACTAGACAGGGGAAAACTGTGGTATGCCACAAAGGAGCAAGTTAGGGTGTCCGTCAGCCCGCAGTAGTGAGGTCCCTCCCTGTCCCTGTTCTCTATCACGACTCCCCAGGTCACAGGGTGTGGCTCAGGACTGCCTGACACCCCTCGGGCAGTGGCTCCAGGCAGCTGCCTGTGGCCGTAGTGCAAGCTCCTTGGCTTCCCTGTGCCTTTCCCCTCCTCTGCCGAAGGGGAACAGTCACCCCCTCGGCCTCAGAGTTAGAGGTACTGTATGGAAGGTGTCTGACACACTGTTGGCCAGTACAGGGCGTTGGTTATCATTAGAAAAGCTTTATTTAAAAATAGAGTGGACTGCCTATGGACCATCAACCCTTGTAACATGTATTGAAAACCACGGATTGTCCAGGGCTCCTGTGTTTTGTCTGGCATGCCAAAACCCAGCATTGAGGAATTGCTGAGTTCTTTAAAATGTAGGCATGAAACAAGGCTGCCTAAAAACGCCTCCAAAGCCACAGTCTCTGCTCAGTTAGTAACAAGGGACTGCCTCTGGCCTGCCTTGAGTGAACAGTAGCAGCGGAGTCCGTGCAAAGGGACCAAAAAGCAACTGCGCCCAGAGTGCGGACCAGAAGCACCATCCACGCCGCCATTCCCAGGAACTGTGGGCGGAGGCGGCTGTGCACCAGGGCTCGAGCAGGAGAGAGCACCGCAGGTGGCTGGCTCCCGAGCTGTGGCCCACCCGCAGGGCAGCGGCATCCTGAATTCCACCTTCTGTCAGCAGTTTCACAAACAATTATTTTAAATAGGGGGCTCTGGTGCAGTTTCTTGAATGGATTACCAAGGCACATGCTTGTTTTACTTATTTGTTGATTTTATAGCTACTGTTTGGGGAAGAGTTCTTTTACATTTCTAGACCTATACTATGTACAGTTGTAATCAGTTTTAGGTGGAGTCACAGGTACAATGATAATGGGTAGTTTATGTGCTTTGAGTATTTGAGGAAGCCTGTGGTGGCTTTGGGAGCCTCGATGATGATGATGAGCATGCCGGGTGTCTCTCGCACATTAGCTCTCTGTACAAATAAATCACCAGAAGGTAGTTTTCTTCTCATCAGTGCATTATTTGGAAGGAAAATAAATCATTATTTTAAGAGTTTATTTTATTATTCTTTTCCCTTCAATGGCAAGGACATTACCTTTATTAGATTCTGTTAGTCCTCATATTGTATTTAATCGGTGTTTCATTTTGTTAACTTAGGTGAAATGCCTCAGCTCGTCAAAGGAATGAAGCTGTTAAACCAAGCCGACCCCTGTGTGCAGATTTTAATTCAGGAAACGGGAGAGCACGTTTTGGTGACAGCAGGGGAAGTCCACCTTCAGCGCTGCTTAGACGACTTAACAGAAAGGTTAGCTCACGGCAGAGATGGAGACGAGATAGCTCCAAAGTCAGTGAATGGAGGCTTACTGTTTCCTGAACCATTTGACCTTGCTCTGTGGTTTGTTTTGGGAGAGGAAATGAAATGCCATGAAACATTAACTGTTACTTGTTATTAGATCATAGGTTTAATTTTTAATAACTGAAAAATACATTCTCTTTTATACTTGAATAATTTTGCATTTTTAGCTTGAGTCAAAATATTTTTATATATATGTATAAACCCACATATTTTACTGTAAGTACATACACAGCATATCAGGACAGCAAACAAAATCGTCTTTTATAAACTGGGCTGTGATAAGGACCGACTTCTCTCCATACTAATGTGGTCTGTGCAGTGCAAACCTCAGGAAACCTTGGTATTTGTCTTGAGGGTTTGTAAGTGTCATAAAAGAAGCAGCCCAGATCACTTTTTGTAACATTTCCCCACCTTATTCCTCTTTATTGTAGCGGTTCAGAAAATGCAGAAGGGGAGGCGAGCTGCAGCGCCTGCCGCCGCCACCGCCGTGCCCACTGGGGCAGGGGTTTGGGGGAAGTCGCTCTCGCTTCCTTTCCTCAGTTCAAAGTGCTGCTGTGGCCACGCCTCCTGTGGGTGTGTTTGGGGCCAGAGCACAAAATTGGGAGGCAGCCGGTCCATCTCTGTGACACTCGTTACCATTTTCTTGGCGTTTCTGAAGATTCTAACACTGGTTAGATAGCAATGCTAATTGGATGCATCACAATGTATAATGTATTTTAAAATAATAGCTTATTCTCAGGGTATTTTTAAGAACCATTTTGTTATTTAGAGTAGTGGGGTGTCTTTGAACTAAATTATTTTCTCTTCACAGTCTTTGCTATCAAATTATAATCCATGTTAAAGAACCCTACATTTCTTAGGCTGTTAATGTTAACTCTTCTTTAAAAATAGGTTTTTTGGTACTTAGAATTATATTTCAAGTAATACCCACTCTGTAAGCCTAAAATGAATTTCAGTTGAATTACTTATTTCTTTGGTTAGATTTTTTATTTTTATCTCATGGTTTTCATCATGGGTACTTTATAATTTCAGGAGGAAAAAAAAACTGTACTTTGTAATAAGAGAAATTAGTTTTCTAGAAATATGCCCTTACCATGGCATTATAACATTTTAATAAATAATTCATTATGAAAACCACTCTATGTAAACTTCTTTTTTGGAAACTACCCATATCTAAACATCTAAAAATAATTTAGAATGAATGAGGATAATAAAAGCAGTTTTTCAAAAATATATATACTGCTTTAGTAAGATACTTTACAAATTCTGGAGTGTTTAACTGCATTTCCTAAAAAATGCTAGCACCTGAAACGTGATGACGCCTCCCCCCTAAAAAAGCCGTTTCCTTAGCACTGGGTCCGATCCGAAGGAGAAGTAAGCTCGGGCCCAAGCTTAGCGTTCTTGTCGGCGCTCAGAGAGTGACCTGGGGGCCGGGTGTCGGAGAGGGCAGTGGCAGGACCACCCAGGGGCGGTCTGAGCTGGTGTGGTCTGAGCCTGTGCCGCGTTTCTCTGGAGGGGACAGCGAGCCGTGCGTGGCCAGGATGGCAGAGCCCGGGCTATGAGGCCCTTGGCAGTGTGACAGCCACGCGCACAGAGCCGCCCCCATCCGTGGCGGGGAGCAGTTTTAGTTAATTCTGCAAGCGATTGCTACAGGGCACTCCTTGCGAACCTCAGAAATTTGAAGGACTGGTGACTCACAGCCTTTTTGAGCTTATGAACAAGGAGAACCCGACTTTGTCTTACTTTTATTCACTCTTCTAGTTTCAATAGCTGTGTAGTTGGTTTTCTCAGTCCTACATATATAGACATGCATTTTTTAAATAATGATAATTTTAAAAATGTTTTTCTATACCTAAGATTTCTAAGTGCTTTTCTTTTTTAAATCAATATAGATACTAAATTTTATTGAATGCCAATTTAGCATTTTTAAAGATGGTTACGTAGATTATTTGACATTTCTAATGTGATACGTTATTTTAACAGATCTAATACAAATCAGTTTTTATAACCTGTGATTTATTTTTTGCTCTGCTGTTCAGTTTGATTTTCCAGTCTGTCGTAATGGGGAAGAACGTGAATTCTGAGGAAACCTAGATTTGAGTCCTAGCTTCTCTCCTTGCGAGCTTTTTGACTTTGGAGAAGTTACTTACTCTTATCTTGTTTTCTCCTTTACAAAATGAGGATAATACAAAAACCGAAGAAATAATACCTGAAAAATACTTAGCACAGTGTCTCATACATAATAAGTGATTAGTAAATAAATAAACACATATATCCATTTTTTTCATTGTTCTTTTATCTTGGATTTTATATCTGAATTCTTAGGTAAGTCTGAACTTACAGTTTTGTCCATGTGTGCTGTCCTTTTCAGGTTGGAGCATCAAAGTAATTTTAAATTACTACATTAGATGAAACTCCATATTGTACAGTATACTCTATATATAGCATTTGATATAAGTTCATCCCTGAAACGAACAAACTCACTGGTAGAACCAAAACCTTTCTTGGAAAATGTTTTTTTCCGCAACATTTTTATTTTCTTTCACACATTATAGTCTATTCAAGTGCTGTTTTCTAAGATAAATGTTGGTAACATTATTTTTAGACAATTATTTATTGTTTTCAGTATAAAATGATAAAACACATACCTGCCCCACAACCCAAAAATGTAGAAAGCAGAAATAAATTTAGAGTCAAGTGAAAGAATTTCAAAAACTTTTACTATTATTTCCCTTATTGAGTAACATTTTCCAAGGCAGAGTACTGTTTAAAGATCCCAAAATTTCATATAATATATGCATGTATACACACAAATACACGTGCGTACATTTACACATATATTTATCCACATTACCAATAGCACATACAGACCAGAGTGAGGTGGACAGAGCAAAAGACTGAGTGGCTTTATCGTCGCCAGGACCACTCCACACTGGTGTTTAGAATCCGTCCTCTATGAACTCACAACTCGTTTGGAAGAACACGCAGCATGAAACTAAACTCGATAGCATGTGAAAAAGGGCTTTCTGAACTTGGCGCCAGACATGTGCTGTTCAGGACAGTAGACACTAGCCACATGTGGCTGTTCACGTAGAATCAAAGATTCAGTCCCTCCGTCACACTTAGCCAAGTTTCAAACGCTCGGTAGCTTTGTGGGGCTGTTTAAATTTAATTAAAACTAAGTAAAAATAAAAATCTCTTTCCCCCGTTGTGCTAGCCACATTTCAAGTGCTCCATGACCGCAGGGCACATACTGATACAGTAGCTGCAGGAGCGGTCTCTAAGACAGACTCCTGGATCGCACTCGCCTTGCTGTGAGCCTCCTCATGAAAGCCAGATGCATCATCAGCATGTGACTAGGTGTCCCGAACTTCTGTGATTCTGTGTCTGCTTAGTGTTAGAATTATTGAGCCTTTCTTCTCCAGACCTTTAAATTGGTAAATAGTATTTTAAAGACTGCATATGTCAAATCTTATTAAAACGTTTTCCATTCAGAACATTCTTATCTAAGTAGATGATTTATTTAGTTTGAGAATGAACAAAGCAATGACATTCTACTACATGCAAAGAACCCCCGGAAGGTATGTTCCTGTTAGTCTTTTCGATCTGAAATGAAAGCAATTTATCTTTCATTGTAAAATGATCTTTATGTCTCTGTTTTTTGTGTAATCTTAATTGTATAATATTTCTATGTGGGAGTTTTTATGCTGTTTTTGCAATGACCTATTATGTTTCTCTTGAATTTCTCTGTAGGTTTGCAAAGATTCAAATCAGTGTATCTGAACCCATTATTCCATTCAGAGAAACGATCACAAAACCCCCCAAAGTGGACATGGTCAATGAAGAAATAGGCAAACAACAGAAAGTTGCAGTCATACACCAAACAAAAGAAGATCAAAGCAAAATCCCTGAGGGAATCCAGGTGGACTCTGATGGGCTAATCACCATGACAACTCCTAATAAATTAGCCACACTCAGTATTCGGGCCATGCCCCTTCCGGAAGAAGTCACTCGGATTCTGGAAGAAAACAGTGATTTGATTCGTTCTATGGAGCAGCTGACATCGTCTTTGAATGAGGGTAAGAATGCTCAGGTGATTGACCAGAAGACCCAAGAGAAAATTTGGGAATTCAAAGGAAAACTTGAGCAACACCTACCAGGGAGAAAATGGAGGAACGCAGTTGACCAAATCTGGTCATTTGGCCCAAGAAAATGTGGGCCCAACATACTAGTAAATAAAAGTGAACATTTTCAGAACTCTGTGTGGACAGGCCCAGCTGGCAAAGCCTCCAGAGAAGCCAGTAAGTACCGAGACGTGGGCAACAGCCTTGTGAGCGGCTTCCAGCTGGCCGCCCTCGCTGGCCCCATGTGCGAGGAGCCGCTAATGGGCGTCTGTTTTGTTCTGGAAAAATGGGACCTAAGTAAATTTGAGGGACAAGGAGCAAGTGAGGAACAGGATCAGGATCTGATGAAAGAGGGACAGGAGGAAGGCGCAGCCTGTCCTGGGGGAGATGAGAGCCAAGAGCTGCAAGGTGGCCACACCGGGCCCTCGGAGAGGAGGACTTCCCAGAAAGGAGAGCCCTCCCTCCCTGACTGCTACGGACCCCTGTCGGGGCAGCTGATCGCCACCATGAAAGAAGCATGTCGCTACGCACTGCAGGTGAAACCTCAGCGCCTGATGGCGGCTATGTACACGTGTGACATCATGGCGACGAGTGACGTTCTCGGTAAGGAAGGGAGTGGAGGCAGCGAGGCAGCCCTGAGCAGCCGGGGCTCGCCTAGGTCCGAAAGCCTAACCTCGCTTACTGTTATTTTCTTACAGAAGCCCCATTGTTGTCTGATTTACTAAGGCACTAAGATCTTTGAAAGTCACAGGCCTTAAATATTGAAATCTTGAGAGGAGTGGGGGCCTTGGTTACTAAAGATCTTTTGCAACAAATAGACTCTTTGCTGTAATGAAAGGTCTGGTAACTGAGGTTTAAACGGCCCATATATGTTACCATTTAAACCTGTGCAGTGGTTTTTGTTGTTTTTTTTTTTCAAAGTGAATAACCCTACCAGTCTGGGTAACCAGAGTCATTCTAAAAATGATCAAAGAGGGAGGCGACATTCTTGTAGTCCCAACACAAAGGGGCTTCTGTGAATTCGGGACCCCTTCTGAAGAAGAAAGTTATGTGGGGCTTTATTTTTACCCACCATTTCTCAAAAGGTCAGATTTCTTGAAGACTGGGGTGTAACTCTGGCCCCAGAGGCCTGAAGTCCTGCAGGGAGGCAGGTGCTTGCTCATAGGCCTCTCACTGTCTTGGCCGTCACTGGCCCCCCGCTGTGTGTGTCCTGCTTGCTGGAGTGGGTGCCTGTTCCCCGTACTGAAGAGAGTAGAGGTCGTAGGTGTTGAGAACCAACTGTGCTTTCTCGCTCTTTATTAACATCGCACTGGCTTGTCCAGGTTGTAGGAAGGTCTCATTTTTATTTTGACGGTAATGAAAAAAGACCCCTTTTGCTGCCTTTAGCACTGTCATTGGGGGGGCTGAGATTGTTCTGGTTTTTAACACCCTGGACGTTCTGTTAGTCCACCCTTAGTTGGTATCTCCCTCTTTCATTCACGGTGCATTTCCTCTTAAAATGAGAGTTAGAAGGTGCTACAGAGTGCCTTTCGTGACCCAGGAGGTATAGTTTGGAGTGACTGCCGTATTTTGGGTACACAGGTTATTAAAATCCTGTAAATGCAAAGAATTGCTTATGGTTGAAATGGGAAATTCTGCAGAAAAGTAATCATCTCACAATAATTTTACCTGGGGAAGTAATCCCAAGAAAATGGAAAATGACCTTTTTTACTTGTAAGATCTACTTTCCTAAAGAGTTGGTTCTGTTACCACTTTTACCCATGAAAATTGTCTTCAGCGGGCTTGAATGGGCATCACAGTTGGCGTGTGTTTTTTTTATAGTCACGTGACTAGTAAATCATCTCTTTGCATATTTCTTCTAACCTGCTCTTTCATTCTTGGTTTTCATTGTCTTTGCCAATAACTTCATGCTATAAAAGTATCTTTTTTTGTTAGACAGTGTTAGAAATTTTAATAAGTTATGATTGTAGTTTATCCATCTGTTTCTGGGGATAAATGCTTATACTGTTAGACCATCTATGCCTTAATGTATTAGAAACATTCTTAATAAGTACCACTATTTACTTTTTAAAATCTCTTATTCTGTAGTTAGGGTTCTTTTTACATTTTACCAGCATTTCATGATTCAGATAACAGAAAATCTATTGAGCTGTACATGCCAACACTGTGTGAAGCGTGATTCCTAGTTTGGGACATGAGTTAAGGCAACAAAATTTAGTTATGTAGAATAACTAGAAAGTAAAATAACCCTGAATTTAGTGAATAAATAATGGTTTTCCCGTGAAATTTTATGAGAAATTGAAATTGACTAAATTGAAAATAGGACAGAATTTTTGGAAAGTGATAGTACCTTGAAAGGGGCTTTGATGGATAGAATAATTTTAAGTTCAGCAACTAGTATTCAGTCGGCTTTCTTTATACCACAACCGTGAAGACTACTGTTGAGCTTAAAGTAAACCTCGTCCTTGCTGTTTTTCTAGGAACTGCTTCCTAGAGCCCCCGGACCCTTAGCTGGCCGCCCCCAGCCGTAAAGCCGCGCACGTGCACATGTGCCTTGGTAAATTTGAATTTCTACCTAGGTATCCTGATTCTGTCAGAGGGGTCGTTACCCTGCCAGCTTCGTGTCCACTGTGGCTTTGCTGTCATGCCTTCTGAATCTTTTAAATTGCTAATTATCAAAGTAAGGACACAAAGCCATGAGCAGAACACTGACTCTTCACTAACAACATCGTCCCGGGCGGGGGCAACTTGCTGACATCCGATAGACTCAGCCAAATTGGTCTGTGCGGTAGCAACCAGCCCGCGTTCCCCGTTATGTCCGCAGTGCACTTTATCTCATGCTTGGTCGAAGCCCATCTGCATCCTGTGGGCCGCATTCGCTTGATTTAGCAGTCTGGTTGCTCTACGGCAGGAGGAAGAGAGGTTAGTGTGACCTGGTTTATAAGAATAAGAAGTGCCACCAGTTTCTTTGTTGTGTTACCAACAGTAGCAAAAACTACAAGGTAGAAGAAAAATCTTCCTCCGTGGAAATTTACCTGCCATTTTCCATTTTCTTACACAATTTTTGTCCATAAGAGTACATGTTACATAGCTATAATCTTATGTAGAAGCAGTTTAGTGTTTCGCTTTTTACATTTATTATTTATTTTCTGAGCATGCTTCTATTTGGCTACTTAATATTCCTTATGTTCATTTTAATCTCTGCACAGTATCCTATCAGTTTGATATGCTATAATTTACTTCCTGTCATCCCCCACTTAGAAATTCACGTTGTTTCCTGTTAGAGAAAACATGGCTGTGAACAGCTGTTTCCTCTCCTAAATTTGGGGCGGGGGTGGGGGGACCGACAACAAACCTAACTTTAATTGCTGAACTTCTAGCTCTAAAAATTGTAGAACCTGCCTCTAATGGAAGAAGAATATACATGTTCAAGAATCTGTAATGCCATCAAAGAACATATTCGGGCCAATGAAGCCCAAATGATCAAGAGATTGTTTTGATTGTGGGATATCACAGGAGACTGTGGAGCAAGTTAATTTTGAATGGGCTTAAAATGATGAAAAAGACTTGACCCACAGGTTGAAGAGACTGTGAGCTCAGAGTGGAGAAGCCTCCTGTGTCCTGAGGGCGGTGCGCGGCTGACCTTGGCTGACAGACAGTCTCGTTAGTGCTCTGGGTGTTCTCGGGTCTGGTGGCCACAGGAGCTGAAGTGACGTCTTACCGCCAGGGCCTAACTTAGGGCCTTGAGCGCGGACTGAGACGTTTACGGGGAAGTCTTTCAAACAGGAGGCCACATCAAAACTGTTCCAATCTATTGACTTCTGTGTTGCCATTTTTTTTTCTTGATGGATATCTCTTCCCTCTGCCTTGCTTACAGCGGGGCATACAGTGATCCTTCTTTGAGTCAGTGGACGAACAGGAGGACTAAGGTTTGTTGGAATAGATGCCCCGCTGAAGGGCTATCACAGTATTTGCAGTGAGAGGCCACATGATCAAAAATCCTCGCCGGTAGGAGCGCCTTAATCCCTCTTCAGACTGCCTCAGTGATAGCGGTGGCAGGAGAGAGGCTCTGCAGGCGCCCCCAGGCCCCGGGCACACCTGCGTGAGCGCCAGGCCCCTTTGCAAGGCTCTGTGACGGCTGCTTTCCTTTGATCGGTAATCCGTCACTGTGGCCTGCTTTTAGGATTTAGTTGTAGTGAAATTAAAACTGAATAGCTCAAAATTACATGATCGATTGCATTTAGTTTCAATTTCAGTTATCGATCCCAGCCCGCCGGTGTGATCCCTGAAGGCCGGGGAAGCGCCGTGGCCCCCGGCCCGCCTCATCAGAGCCCATTTCCCCCAATGTAATCACTCTTTCCACCCCCACCTCTTGCCACACACGCTCATGTTTTGTATTTACTTCCATAAACCACCTTAAAACTTCTTTTTGAATGAGGTAGCAGGCTAAATAAAGATACTTGTTCATACATACTAGCTATTATAGTAGGCTGAAGAGATGGCTAGTAAAGATAATCATTGTCCTGTTTTTCTCAGAGATTTTCAGACTGCCGAAAGTACCGATTTCACTTCTGGGCACCACATTTCAAGAGAGAGGGAAATACATCATAGCAGTTTAAATAGGAAAGTAGTCAGGATGGAACTGGAAAGCAAGCTGATGCCACAGAGAGACGGGGGCTGTGTAGACTGGAGAAGAGGAGGCAGGATAGCTGTCTCCCAGTAGCGTAACTGCTGATCTGCGGACTAATGGTTAGACACTTCAGAGCAACGGATCTGGGGCTTGAGAATTGTGTCCCAGTCAGGGCCGCCATCTAAAAATGGAACGGGCTGTCCTGGGAGGAGGTCGGTTTTAGGAATGTGCAAGCAGACTCCAAGCGACTGCTGTGGCAGAACTGTTGACCTTGAAGTCCCCTTCTGACCCACTGCTCTGTGACACTGCAAGTGAGATACTCTGTGGATGGTGGGGAAATGACTTTAGAGAGGCGGGGAGTGGCGTCAGCCTCTGCCGAGGGAGTGTGTTCTCTCGGAGGCCTGTCGGATTGGAGAAGCCCGCGGTCGGCGGGGGGAAGGCCAGGTGCGAGGCCTGACTCAGAAGCAGCGTCCGGAGTCCCCGGCGTAAAGTCAGTCCTTTAAACCGCACAGGTGATACATGAAGTGGCTCTCTGAGGGGAGAGTTTGTTCAGAGAACAGCACAGGGCCTCAAGGAACACTCCTGGGAAGAAGATCTGCCTTTAAGAATTACTGCAGTAGATGAGGAATGGCGGTCGGGGCCTGGGACCTAAGGAAGGGCACCAGGGTCGGAGAGCTGTCGGAGGAGGTGCTGATCAGCAGCTCCAGAAACCGCAGAGAAATGGTGGGGAATGAGGGCCGGGAGAAGGCGTTTAGGCTAGGAATATGGACATGATTGTGAAATTGCAAAGAAGCAGTTCCCACAGGGCCCGAGCAGCCTGTGGCGTGGTCCGGAGAGCACAAGGCGAGGAAATGGGCAGCCACTCACGACAGTGGGGCTGAGCGCAAGGAGGGGCGGGGGCCAGGAGCGCGCAGTGGGTGCCTGCGGAGCCTCTCCCCACCAGTGGAATTTATTTCTAATTTGTTCTTAAGCTAAACCTGCGCATGAGGACAGCCCATCAGGGGAGGGTTTTTGTTATTTTAAAAATTCTTAAGACCTTGCGACACCAGGGGTTTCCTGCCCTTTGTTCCCCTTTATCTTCCTAATCACTGCCACCAAGGGGGAACCTGAGTCTAGGACCACGGTTTGGGAGTCCTCAGCTCCCACTTTAAAAATGAATGAAGGCGGGTGGCAGACACCACCATCCGGTTCCCCTGTCACTGAGGAGGGAGGAGCCTGCCCGGGGCTCACTGTGGGAGTCAGAGGACTCCTCTGCTGAACTGCGTACATTACACGTTTAAGGAAACTGTATTCATAGATCACTTACATAATTAAATGGGTTTTTCTAAATGTTACGTGAAAAGGAGTCTTTAATGTGAGTATCTGTTAGCTACCGAAGTTCCTCACAGCTGTCTGATTTTCGGTTTCTCTCTGTTCTGCTCACTGGTTGGAAGGACCCTCTGAGAGCCCACAGGCAGCCACGCACGCCGGAGCCGGTCGGGGGAGATGCCCCCCGCGCCCCCTGCGTGGGAGGCCGGCGGTGTTAACCAAGGGGACTTCTGGGAGTCTCAGGGTGTGGTGGTTGAAATTCTTACCAGGTGTTGATGCCTGGTAATTCCAAAGACCATCAGTTTTCAGAGAATAAAACTTTTATACTTGTGCCATTGAAGTGTTGTCAGTTTCGGTTTTCTTTTTTTTTTTTTTTTTTTAATATTAAGCATTTATATATGTGTGGCTTTAATTTTTAGTGTAAAAATGCCATTGTGCCAGTTGGCTTTAATAATGTCTCATAATTTTTGAAGTATCTAAATTTATCTTAGTCACATTTATCTCATTGGATTTCATCCCTAAAGGCAGCTCATAGGTGATACTGCATCAGAAGGTCCTTTGAAAGTCCCATTTCTTGTGCTGTGTGAGGGGATTGTCTTTGGAGAATGCATTTTGGGGTGATTTCACTTTTTGTTATCTTTTGTTTCTACTTTTTCTGTAATTGTCATGTGCTTTACTTTTTAAGTAAACACTCAAAATATTTCCATGCTGTTGTAAACCAAACTTATTGGGAACGGAGTCTCTACACTGGTAGATTGTCACAGGGTGGATGAGTAATCAGGACTTTGTGTGTGGCTCAGTGAGTTCAAAAGATTTTTGGCTTTGCAGGTCGGGTCTATGCGGTCTTGTCAAAGAGAGAAGGTCGGGTGCTGCAGGAAGAAATGAAAGAAGGCACGGACATGTTCATCATCAAGGCTGTGCTGCCTGTGGCCGAGAGCTTCGGCTTTGCTGACGAGATCAGGAAGAGGACGAGTGGCCTGGCCAGCCCGCAGCTGGTGTTCAGCCACTGGGAGGTGAGGCCCCAAGTCCCCCCGTTCCTTCCTTCTCGCCTCCGGATGTGCTTCCTGCAGGTGACACCAAGAGTGGCAAACAAAACTCCTCGTGCCATTTGGCCTTCTGATGGCTCTGCCCCGGCAGAGGGACAGGAGAGAGCAGATGGTCTTTATTTACCTGGAGTGAGGGGGCCTTGGATTACACGTAGCTTACAGTTCACTCACGCACACCCCTATTGTTTTTATTTGGTGTAAAACTTAAGACAATATTTCATCCTTTTTATCCCTTCCAAAGGTATATTGTAGATTTTTAAAAGAAAGTCACAGACATTTTCGAAAGAAAAATTAAAGGAACTTTTTTCCTGTGGAAAAGTAGTACTTCCAGCATTTAGAGGGGACCCTTATGTGGGATCAAAAATGAAAACATCACAGATCCACATCGCTGGGGAGAGGAGAAGGATGGTGAGCACGTGTTTAACTTAGGGGGGAAATAACAACAAGGGCCGGGCAGTCAGTCCCGCCTTCCTGAGCAGGTGAGTCCTTGACAGAGAGGTGGAAGCCAGCAGCTCCGGAGCAGGAGGGTGTGGGGGGGCCAGTGAGAAAAAACAGCAGGTCATGCGCGGAAACAGTGGGTTATATTTCAAGACAAAACCTGGAGTCAGGAGTAGAATTGTTAAACTACAGGATGTCGCTAGAAACGTTTGGGGAAAGCAGCTGTTCTTATCACTGTTCACAGGTAATGCAAGTGACTCCACATTCTTCACATCGCCTGTGAACGTTCGTGGGTCAGTGGGAGGGGGACCAGCTTTGGCGTCAGAGGGTTCTGGGTTCTAATGCTAGTCCCACCACCTATTCTGACAAATGGCGGAGCCTCCCTGAGTGCGTCCCGCCCCTGAGATAAAGCTTTTTGGCGTTTAACGGAATGCCCTCGCTGGTGTCCCCGCCCCTTCTTGCCAGCGCACTTGAGTCAGCGTTACAGGCATTTTGGTTGCTCTCGGCGCTGTGGACCTGCACTCGGCCTCACACAAGTTAACCCAGGGTTTGTTTTTTTTTTTACCTCATTTAAGCAAAACTCATGGCTTAGGTTTGATGCTGAGCCATTTTCACTTCTGTTGCTTTCTTAGCCAGTTTGGCCTTTGTCTCTAGAACTTTAAATGAACTGTTTAAATATAGGTAATAAAGGGAAATGGGAATAATTAAAGAGAACTTTGTTTTTAGAGTGAATTTTGTAATCAAGTGAATCGGCATAGTGAAGACAGGTGGCACAAGACAACTTGATGTCAGACAGCGCATTTAATTTTAATTGGGCGGATTCATGTCATCTACGCATGAAGCTGTTAGTTCAGAACACTCAGTTGTATCTGCTTCTCTTAAAAGAAAGTCACACTCTTAATGCTTGATAGAACCAACAGCAATGTTGTACTGACTTTGTTTATGTTATTTTCTTGGTCAGTGCAAATTACATTTTAACAGTGATTTGCTTTGAAATTTTTCTTGCATTTTATCTTTATCTAGAAATTAAATGGTGTTTTTAATGGTGTTATTGGCTTATATCTGAATGGCTCTCATTGCTGAATTTCGTTATGTGGAAAACAGTAGCTCCAGCATTTAAGTTATTTGTTAATCCCAAGCTTATGGGTAGTAATTTCCCACTTATTTAAACATCTAGCTCTTTGGCTTTGGTTTATGGTGCTCACCTTGTACTAAAAACTAACCAGTAAGAAGTAGCGGAAATGGTAATGGCATCATTATTGGGAGAATTATATATTTGAATTCATGTATTTTATTGTCATCATTTTACAGTCAGTCTTGTCTTTGAAAGTGACTTGACAAAAGCGTGGCTCAGCTAAGGCAGAAGATGCTCTTCGAGTCCGGGGAGCACAGCTCTGGCTCGTCCTGTCCTGCTGTCCTTCTCAACCCTTGGCTTCCCCCACGGTCCGGAGCGGCCCCCACCTCCCACCGTCTCGTGCGCCCTCCGGGCAGCAAGGACGGGACGGGAAGAGGCGGGCATACGCCTTCCCTTCAAGGACACGGACTGGATATTGCACCAGTCACTTCACCTCGTCCCATTTCCCAGAACCAATCCTACAGCCGCATGGCACAGGCCTCATCTGACACGGAGGCTGGAAAATGTAACCTTTAACTAGATCAGGAGTCAGCAGACCACCCCATTACCTGTTTTGGTAAATGAAATTTACTGGAATATAGCCTTATCCATTCATTTAGATGTTTTCTATGGCTGCTTTCAAGCAGAGTTGAGTAGTTGCAGCAAAGGCCATATATGCCGCCTGCAGCCTAAAATGTTTACAATCTGCCTGTTTATGGAAGAAGTGTGCCCACCTCTCCCCACTCCAGCCGTGCCAAGCCTCGGTGACCTGGTTTGTCCACCTGACATACCTTTTACCAAACAAAAAGAAAGTGGGTATTTCAGAATAACTAGCTGAAAAACAGCAATTTTTTTTTTTATTTTATTTTTTTTTTTTTACCAGATAGTCATTTTTTGTTAAGGTGAAAACCATGATGGTTTTTCAGTCTCCTTCCCTCTCAAAATTAAAAATAAAGATGAAAAGTAATCTTACATACTAGTTTTTTTAAAGAAATAGTTTCTAGGTTAGTTACAACGTATTAAAAATCAATCTCTTAATAACTTTAGAGGAAAGTGTAGTTTAGAAGCGTTTGCCGTGGTTCATACTGTCCTTCTGCCATCCGCTTGGCACCTGTCACAGTCCTGTTCCCAAAAGCGTCCCATCTCTGAAAGTCTTGAAAACTGCATTATAATTAAATGTCATTGATCTGATATTTTTTGGCTGTTTTGGTTTTCCCCCATAGTGAGGTTTAGAAATAACACAGTTGTTGAGATCTGGCTTCTCCCTCCAAGGCACTTTTTTTCATTTGTGTTCTACCATACCATATAATTTACAATCAAGAGCTTTTGAGAGAAAGTGTCTCAAAAAAACAGAGAAAATAAAATTACAGGCATTTTCCATGAGGAAACCTTTGAAGTCAGCAATCTCATAATTTCTCTTTCTGTGTTTTACCCTCTGTGAAAAGGGGTGGGGGGGGAAGCTAATAACAGGCACAGAAAGACAAATAGTACCGCCCCGTGCTGTTGTACATGTGTCTCGGCACAACCCCGGGAGTCGCTGTCTGACACGGAGCGCTGCCAGAGGTGGGCCAGGGCGCGGGCGGCACGAGGGGGAGCGATCACGGCAGCCCTGGGGGAGTTTCTTTTCGACAGGGCATTTCTCACCCGCTGGCGGCTGAAAGCATGGTAAAAGCGCCTCTAGCCCCCGCCCCCTTTTTTTTTTTAAACACCTAGGGCAGCAGCTAACACTTAGGTGCCTTCCTTCAGGTGAATTAGAACCTGGCATCGGAGTCAGGCTGTGGGGCTGCAGAGGCATTCCCGCTGTAGGTGGGCGAATTCTGGGTGAGCCAGTTTAAAAAAAAAACAACACTTTTTCCTCCAAACTGTTAGCAAACTCTGCTCCGCAGCCTCTAGGGGCCTTTCTGTATGTAGCACAACCTGGATGACCTTTGGGGTCACCTTGTGGGTGTGTCACTAAGGGAATTCCAGACAAGCAGGAGGGGGTCAGGGATTGCTTTGTCTCCCTGTCCTGCACGCTCGAGGCGGGGCCTCACGAGGCCCACACAGACGCAGGGGTGGGGAGGTGGAAACAGCCCGTGTGGGGCAGGCAGGACCGCCAGGAGGGGCGGCTCCAGCTGGTCCGGAGGAGCCCCAGCAGCCGGAGCTGCGGCAGAAGGTGTCCTGAGTCTTGGGAAGCAAGCTGAGCAAACGCCAGAAGCACATGCCAGAGGCCCAGACAAAACTGGGTCCTTTTTGAAACTCCAGGGTCTTATATTTTTGAAACAGGGACTCTGGTCTTAAATTGGACAGTCTGAGTCTGGTGTCTCTCAACCAGCACCTCATTTATTTCTTTTTATAAAATTTATCACTCTTTTAACAGGGCTAAGAATTTATTCACCACTGCCACTCAGACATACTAAGAACATGTAGCTTCTTTATGTTCTGTGGTGAGTTTATTGTCCAGCTGGTTAGGGGAGGGTGCCAGTAACCAGCTTAAAACCAGTCTCAGGGGACGGACTGTCTCTGTGGACGGCTGCCCAGGTGAATGACCGTTCGCCTTCCTCCCTCGCCCCCTTGAAGGAGGAGAGGGCTGCTGTGCCTGCCTGGGGGCAAAGACAAGAGAGCCTCAGCTCCACGCCGCGCGCGCCCTCCAGAGCCCCACCGATCTTTGCCATCGAGTGGCCTCTCCGGTGCGGTCCCATCAGGCCACTAGGGCAGCCCCTCCCTGTTCAGGGTGCTCTCACACCAGCTGCGCGTCTCCCGCCACAGCATCCCCCCGACGGCTGCCTTTGTCCTGCTCCCCGGCCCTGCCCGCCCCTCAGCCCCTGAGCAGGGTACGGGACCATCTGGATGAGCATTATCACCCTCTCCTCTGGTGCCTTGTCGGCTGTTCTGAGAGGCTTACAGTCTGTCTGCTTGTACAGGTATCAAGTACTCAGGAAGAAAGGGAGAGAACACCCATTTTTAATAATAGGCTGAGCGTTCTGTAACCAAGGCAGGTACGCGGCAATTCATTCATTCAACATACACCCCTGAAGAATACACCAAGGATGCCTGCTGTCAAAGAAAAATAGTCATTTGTATCTTCCTGCAGCAAGGCCACAGTGAAGGCCCGCAGTGAAGGGAGAAGAGGGCGTAGGAGCCTGGGAGCGGGCCCAGAGGGAGGTCTCCCCCTGACCAGGAATCTGCACCGCGACCAGCTGGGCCGCGGTGGGCAGGCTGACCTCCTGGTGCTCACTGCGAGCACTCGGGACGACCCTTGTGTTAGGAAGCCCTTGTCGGTCTGCCCTTCGACAGAGTGGCCGAGGCGAGAGCTGGTTGTACGCTTCCTGTGGGCAGCTTGCTGCCTGTAGGAGGAAGGGAGGCCAGGCTGCCCAAGACCGCCTTCCCCACCCCCACTGATCAGTAAGACTCCCTCGGGGAGCCGGGGAGGAGGCAGAGCCGTGGGGCCCATGGAACCACCCCCTCCCCCCGGCATGTGGGACCCTTCATGGTGTTCCTCTCCTACCAGGGTGCAGGGAGTGTCCGCAGATGCAGTCTTGCCCTGTCCTGGAAGCCACTCCCTTGGTGACCGGCCTCAGGACAGTCTGTGTCCAAGTTTACCACCTTCTGGGACCTCAGGACTTGGCCTCTTGTCATCTTGGGGGCCTCAGCCCCACCCCAGTCAGGCTTCCAGACTAATGCTTTCTCAGCTGCTTTTCCTTCTCCCTTCCCCTCAAGAGCAGCCTCAGAGGGAGACTGCTCTCGTTCCCCGGGGTGTGTCTCCCTCTCCCGCAGAGCAGTAACGGGCCTGAGCCCGGAGCAGCGGGGGAGGAGGCTGCGGTGTCTGCCTCTGGTCCGTACGAAATGTAAAGGCCGCCTGGCCCCGCTCCCCAGGTGCCCTATTGAATTTTGGGGTAAAGCTCAGAGTAGTCAAGAATGGGTTCAACGTGTTGCTCTTTGCTGGGCACAAAGGCAAATGTAATGAAAGACACTGTAACCCAGGTATATCCTACTGAAAGAAAGTTTTTATGTTATTCAAAATTAATAGATTTCTTCCTTCCTTGGTGGCATGTACTCTCTGTATAAGGAAAGAGTCACACACGTTACAGGTTCCATTGGGCCTGCCTCCCTTGGTTCCTACCCCCGTTTTCCTCGTGTTTTTTACCGTTCCTCCAAGCTTAGCTGCTCGTGGCTTAACCTCTTTTCTTCAGCAAAGACTATATGAATTAGCCCTTGACAAAGTATATTTGCCTAATCCAGCTCGTTCTGTGGCCTTCTTTTACAAGGTCATCCCCAGCGACCCCTTCTGGGTGCCGACCACCGAGGAAGAGTACTTACACTTCGGGGAAAAGGCAGATTCGGAGAACCAGGCCCGGAAGTATATGAACGCGGTGCGGAAGCGGAAGGGTCTCTACGTGGAGGAAAAGATTGTGGAACACGCAGAGAAGCAGAGAACCCTCAGCAAAAATAAGTAACTACTGTCAGTGGATTCTTTGTTTCTAATAAATTAAGGAGGATTCCCCCCAGGGCTTGATCCTGGGAAACTCATTTCTGCTGCATCATCTCTGTGCATTCACTGTCAATAAAATCGACCCACAGAAGTACTTGAAAGGGAGGGGACGTTAGAGGACGTGTTTCCTAAGTGGTTTTTAATTGATTCTGGTACAAGGCAAGATGTTACCGTGAGTACTGTGGCGCTGACTTACCACCCCCGTGAGTGAGCCGCCACAGTAAGGTGTGTGCCGGGGCAGGACCCCCGTCCTCTGCGCCCAGCAGTTGCATCTCTGCCTGTCATCGGCATCCCACTGCCCTTGTGCTGCAAACACGGCTCACAGTCCCTCATCGAGTCCCAGCGCGCCGCGTCACGTGGAGGGGCCGCGCGCTCCAGGGACCAGCTACCTCCAATTAGTGCAGCCGAGCCCCTGCCATCCCTGGTCCGGCGGACGGTTGGTTTGTCTGGAAAGCACTTCGAGGTTCATTTGTTTGCCTTCTCACCTGTTCTGACATTCCCTTGGAAACTGCATCACTCGTAGTTAAGTGTTAATGATAGTTATGCTCAGTACCTTTTTCTTTAAAAAAAAAAAAAAAGGCAAGGCTATTTCCTCTTAGACACAGTACATTAGCTCACGTGACAAGATTATTGCCTTTATTGTAAATCTTTTTCTGAAATCTTCGTTGCCTCATTCAGGGAGGTCCCCATGTAAGGAGCAAATGCAATTCAGTCAAAAATAGATTTTGTAATTTTTGATGTTGCACTAATAAATTTTATAGTCTCTAACAAAAGGATTCTTTTTCAAAATGCATAAAATTATCAGAGCAGACCTTGTTTTTGAAATGTTTTTAATGGGTTTTTTCAATAAACTAGGTGATTCTTAATACTAGTTGTAGCTATCTTACCTTTAACATTTAGAGCTCTGGTGTCATTGGTTAGGTCTCCTTGACCTAGAGTTTGGGGACAGTGTGGCTGGATAGCTCACTGTCTGTTCAAGTTTAACAGGTACCAATATCTGGATTAATTTGGGGAAGTTCTACCATGTGTTGGTTTATCTGAAAACTTTGATCACATAGGAAAAGCCAGCACATCGATTTATAGTGTTTGTGAGTAACATCATTCAAAGTGCCAGATGTGCTGTTAAAAGTATTCTTAGTAAACGCTACACTTGATCAGCAAATGCTGAGCTTAGTTGAGCAAGAGGCAGGGCCCAGAAGGAGCTGGCCCCTCCCTGCAGTTCTGTTGGGCCAGATGTGCTGGTGTGGGGGAGGGACATGCCAAGGTGACAGATTGCCTCTCTTCCTTCTCCACGTTTAGGAGAGACAGTAGTGAGCAGTAAAATGACCACGAAGAGGCAGGCCCAGGGATATAGCTAATCTGCCATGTGAGTAACCTTCCCTGTTGTCTCATTGGTAACGGGACCCCAGTCGTTGGAGCTCTGCACTCCCCGCCCCAGCGCCGCGCCCTGCCCCTGACCTCGGTGTGCCGGGTTCCGTGGGCGGGAGCCAGGGCGCCCTCGGTGCCAGCGTGGGCTGGGGGCGCCCCTCCTCTCACGGCAGGGGTGGCGTCCTGCCGTCGCTGACAGCCGGGCCTCGGGCGGTGACGAAGGCTGTGTTGAGGAAGCCACAAGACCACAACCCTGACTCCTGGAGGGTGGTTTGCTTTGGCGTCCAGAAGCAACTGTCCTGCTCAGGGGACGGGCAGAGGCAGCATCGGCCTCCTGCCTTTTCCCTGCCGGCCCCAGCGCAAGGTGCACCAGGAGGAGGCTGGGCGGGGCCTGCCGCCTGGGTCCGTTTCCATAGACCCGAGGGGAGATGCCCATCTCCTGTTAGGACCCCATTAAGACTATGGAGTGTGTAGAGGTAGGTAGGTACATAGAGTTACCAGCCATGAATCTGAGCCAGTAGAGAGAATGATTTTCATGTCTGCAAAGCCTCTTGCCTTCACGGGCAGAGCCCAGGCTTCCTCTCAGCCAGCCCTCCAGCTGCTCGGATTCCGCGGTGCTAGGGCCTGTTCCTTCCCCTCTTCACCGAGCGGGAGCGCCCTGGGGAAGGCTGTGCCCGGAGATGCAGCCAGTGCTGCTGCCGTAGCCTCGGGACGCGCTTCCCCAGGCCCGTGGAAGTGGGCTCAGCAGGAGGGACTTGATGAGCAGCCGTAGCTCTGCTTCTGGCCAGTAAGCACACAACACAAGCCACAGGGACAGGGCTGGCCCAGAGCCTTCTCGGAAGGTGGCAGTGGAGTCCAGAGCTGTGGGGGAGGTCGGCACGGGGGCTGAACAGACCCTCTGTGACTAGACACTTGGAGGCCACAGAGCCCCTGGCCTTGGGCCAGGGGAGCCACCGCCGCTGTGGCCGCCCCAGCCCCTGAGTCGAACGGCTCCCCTTGCAGGGCTCCTGCTGCTGTGGAGGAGAGCAGCGTGGACAGGGACAGGGCGCTGCCCTGGGCCGCGTCTGCAGGCGGAAGCCAGCTTGTGCCAAGCCCGTTGGCAAAGGACCGAGAGGCAGGTAGGGACGTTCTGTCAGTTTGGCCTCTGCTCTGGTGGCTGCCTGTTGGGGTCCCGCTCTGGGCTCCTCCTCCTGACAGTGCTGCATCTCCTTCTGCAGTTTCCATGGGGAAGGCCTTCCAGAAATAGCACCCTGCTTTTCTTTGGGGAAACTACCTCATCTCGAAGTCCCTGAGGTTGGAGCAGGTTTGACCCAGGCTGGGACAAGCAGTGTGTTCAAGTCCTTGCCTTGCTGGAAGGGACACGTCACTCGAGGCTCCAGTGAGTGCCAGCTGCCAGGCTTTTGATAAAGAGGCAGCATCTTTGCTTTGGGTCCCTGGCTGGTCGATGGGACCCTGGGGCTGCCGTGCCTCCCTGGCCTCACCTGGCCGCAGCCAGCAGAGAATTCAGCGGCTGCTTGAAAGCAGAGCTGGATGGCGAGGAGGGGCCCGTTTCTGAGTGCTGCTGTGAGCCCTTGTCCAGTCTCCTTTCCACCTCAGAGCCTGTGCCCGGTGCCGTCACTGTTAGGATGTCACCTTCCTCTCTGCCTGTGAAGTGAGCTTATCTTTTGATGAGGCCCATGACGTCGTTTGTCTCTCCGATGACACCCAGGGTGTTCTGGCGAGTGGGTAGTGGTTTGTGTACACATCCTGCCCCACTGACTTGGAAAGCCACTTGAGGGTAAAAGTGGTTTATACTTGCCTTGCACAGAGCAGATGCTCAGCAGGTCCTGGTGGACGTGTATTGATTACAGGCTAACTGTATAGGTGTAAGTAGGAAGGACCTTGAGAGCACAGGTCTCCTGGCTTCAGTCCAGGGCGCTGGGGTGGCACGCTTCCTCTTTGGTGAGAGAGGTCCCAATAGGGAGGACCTGTGTTAGAGCAGTGGGCCCCCAATTGCGGGACCCAGACGTCCCCTGGAAGCTGGTGGGAGGGCAGGTTCTCAGCTGCACCTCAGACCTGCATGGAACTCTGCGCTGGGCCGGCCAGCTGTCTTCAGCTGCGGGTGCTGCTGACCACACTCCGCTCTGAGTCGGACCACTGCTGTAGAGATTTCCATCGGCATTTATTTAAAATTATACTTTCCATTTCTTGCGATTTTTATTAACTGCTTCCTGATTTACACATGAAAATGCACACTATGCATCTTGGATGTAATTTTTAGTAAAACCAGGTATCATTTGGATATTTTCTTCCACCTTGGACAGTAGATACAGAAATTCTGAAGTGCTTTCAAGTGTATACACCTATTTTAGGATTGGGGTCTAAAAGTCAAAAGAGAGAACTAAGCAAAAAGTTAGTGTGAAAGGGAGCACCTAGATGGCGTTCATTGGTGTCGGAGTGCCGGAGGGCGGGGGAACATGTTATTTGTCTTTCAGACCCAGTAGGAACAAGAAGGGGAGGGACTAGCTCCAAGATCCGAGGCTCTTATAAATGTACTTTTAAGGAGAGAGGAGTGGATCACACAGCAAACGTTTGAACATTAGATTTAGATGGGTTTTTTTTTTATTTGCCCTAATTTAAAAAAAAAAAAGTGACCTTATGAGATGTCTAGTTAAAAATGTTTGCTCTCCTTTTATCTTTTATCTTTTGGGGGGGGGGTAAGAGTTTCTAGAAAAATTACAGCTGGGAGATTTTTCTGTTAGGTGTTTTGCATGAGCTCATTGAAAATACACACTTTTCATTTTATATGCTACCCTTTCCAAAGACATTTCTTTTATTAAAACAGCTTCGCTTTTGGGAATGTCAGTTAGAGGTGAATTCACTTGGCTGTTTTCAGAGGCTTTGAAGTGATTTTTAAATTGTCACCACCACCCCTTCGGTCTTTCACAATAAACAGGATTTAGCATTTGAAATGGACTTTGATACAGAGAAGGCCGTGCTTACAGGTCACATGTTTCTCTGGAGAAGCAGGAGTACCCTCACGTCTGAGACTCTCCCCGGCTTGCTCTCTATGAAACCTCATTTCCTTCCCCAGAAAAGGTTAATGTTTCATAAGTAGTATGCAAGGAGCCTTGCCGACGCCTCCAGAGTTCACCCAGCCCAAACGGACCCCTGTGCTCCTGGCCCGGCTGATGCAGGACGTGCGGCGGCGCCCGCTCTGCCAGACGCTGCAGCAAACGCTCGGGGTCAGGCCGGCCTCCTCTGGGCGCTGTCCTACGGGCACCACGGGCCCCTCTCCTCTCAGCTGTCCCTGCTTCGGTGCCTGCACTTGTGTGCGAAGCAGCAGGCCCTTGATTCCTGGGGTTTTACGGGGCTTTGCGTGAACCAGCTCCTTGGCACCCTGATCTCTCTGAGACCAGACAGGTGCCCCTGAGGCCTAGCCTGAGACGGATTCAAATGGCCCTCACTAACCGTACTCAGATTATTACTCCTTTTGTTACTCACTCAACCCATTGTGTTTGCTGCCTTCTCTTTCCTATAGTGTGTTTCCCACCCAGAATTTTCCCAGAATCTCCTACAAAGAGCTCAGCCTCTCTCTTTGTCGTGCCCATAGCTCCTTCTAAGGAGACCCTCGCTGCCATTGTTTGTTACCAGATGCTGGTAGCAGTGGCTGTATTTTCCTTGAGTCCATCCATAGGCTGCAGCTGCTCGAGACATGGTAACTGGACATGCTGTCAGCTCGAGGGGAACTGGACATTTTCTGTCATTGACTTGGACACAGACCAGCAGCTTTGAGAACTGGCCCTG